TAGTTTCGACTAAATAAAATAAATAAACATTTAAAACCAAAATTATCCACTAATTAAACTAATATGTTAGTAAACCTCTTCATTCTGATCCACATAAACATAATAAACAATTGTCATCATCAATTAATTCACGCTCTCCCAAACATAATGCAAATTAACATGAATTGTTGTAGAAATGAACTGTCGACGAAATAATTTTCGACAAAATGAACTTTCGATGAAATGAACTTTCGACGAAATGATTGTCGACGAAATAATTGTCGATGAAGTGATTGTCGATGAAGTGATTGTCGACGAAATAATTTTCGACGAAATGAACTTTCGACGAAACAAACTTTCGACGAAATGGGTATCGACGAAATGAATCAGACCCCAGAATCATCATTTTAAATAATAGTTAACCCTTAAAAATCGTTAACGAGCAAGAAGACAACAAGTGTAATGCATTGGTAAAAAAGGCAACAATTGTGGGGCTTTGGCAAAAGGCACTGTTTATTTAAACAAAGGTTGGTCCAACATGTTCATGAACTTTGAACAGAAATCAAAAGTTCGTTTTGAATTGAACTGAACTTGTATTGAACTTCTGCTTTAGTGTGCTGAACCGAACCTGAATATCGTTAGAAGTTTGGTTCAATATTCTCTGAATTCTCATAAAAGATGTGATAGGTGATAGAACAGAAAATTGATAAATTTATTAAAGTATATAGACAGTTTAAATACAACTGTCAAAGGAATGATTGAATATTTGTCAAACATGACAATGCTTTCTTTTTTATAAAAAGGCAAGAACGAACATTAAACTGCGCGATTTCTTGACCGTCGATTCAACTTTTAATTTGTTGCGCTATTTTATTAGGCTCGACTACATGCACTTTAAAAATCTATTAGCTAAACATCTTATCATTTTCGATTGATCTAATTATTTTGTGCAGAACAACCTTCAGAGGCTCATTATTTGCATTGCGTCAAGTGAAAGTGGTCGATGATCTGATTGCAGTTCTGTGAGCTAAAAAGAGATAATAATCTACTATTAAGTGAAATTGTTAATATTATTATGTAAAAGAAATTGGACAAGATCATAAATAATTATATAACTTTAGATAACAATGACCAGCAAGATTCTAGAAAACATACCAAATTAAAATCTATCCCATTTTTTTAGAAGATATGTAAGAAGTATTATGGATTATAAATTCAAAAAGGGACAAAAAAGGAAATTTTTTTATTTTTGATATTTTGTGATAAACAGAGTTATTCTGATTAGTCAAGATCATGATCACATTATTAGGGTTCTTTGTATAGTATAAATATGACTAAAATTTTTTTGACATCAGTATTCATTTTATATTTAATAGTTAAATAAATAAATTACTTTATTATACCAAACATAATAATTTTCCTTTACATCAAAAAAAATCTTGAACATCACCATCATTACTACTACTTATTTTCACCAAATCTCTAACCTTTCGTTTTTCTTTTCCTTTAATTTGATTTCTTTTTGCTGAAAATTTATTTGATTTTTTTTTATTTGATTGTTTTTTCAATAATTTTGTAACACGATCTTTGATTTCTGATTGTGATAAATTATTAGGTTTCGGGATGGTGGTTGTAGATGATGTTGTAGATGATGTAGTATTGATGTTTCGATATGGCTTAAAATCTCTATTAGTGTTATTATTAATATTGCTCGAATCCTCAAACTCTGAATCAGAATTAGTTTCTGAAACATTTTCACCTTCACATTTTTCCTCCTCCCTTTTCTCGTTATTCTCATCATTGTTGCCACTGTTGTCATTATCAGATATCTCTTCATTTAAATGTAAAGATGATAGTGATGGTACTTTTATCTATGATATATATAATATAATTATTATACTATATTCATTGTTACATAAATAAATAAATTAATTAGTCAGTCACCTTTTCATCATCATCATTATTCTCATCGAATACATCTATCGATGGCTTTTTATCAGTTATTTCCTCAACTTCATTATTATTTATTTTGTCATCGTCTTTTCTTTCATCATCATCATAAACATCATCATCATCTTCTTCTTCTTCTTCTTCTTCTTCTTCCTCCTCCTCCTCCTCTTCCTCACCATCTTTAATCTTGCTAAATTCAGTTTGAAACTATATATTATCAAAAATTATTATTAATTATATTTCTTCTACATTTTCTTCATATCAAGCTAAATCTATAAAATAAAAATAATTTCATTACCACTTCCAATTCTTTTTGTAGTTTCTTTGTGAATCCACTAGCAGACACTTGAACATCTAGATTGAATTCACGGTTTACATCCAATTGAAATTTTGGATATAAAGCACTTTGATAATTATATTTTTTCTGAAAATATGTACGTATACACTCCACATCCCGATTAAAATACCTTATAAAAAAATATAAAATTTAACTGGAGAAAGAAAAAACCCAAACCAAAATCAAAATTAACGATAACCAACCATTCAGCATTTGGATGAGAAATAGAAACCATTTGAGGAAAATCGATCAAGATGGGTTCACCATTATCTTTAACCAGTATATTAAATTCATTGAAATCACCATGAATTAATCCATATTGAGCAAGTCTAACTATTAAATTCATCAGGTCAGAGTACAATTTTCCTGGATCTTTTACTTCTGAAATCTGATGCCTTAAATAAATAGATTAATTAATTAATTACTATATATGCTATATGTATTTTTTAATATCATAGTTTATCTCCGTAATATTTACAATGGATAAGCATCAATCAATTCCATTATTATACAATGTCTGATTTGATCAATTGGTTTTGGTATAGGAAATCCATTATCATATAAAACCTAATTAATAAACACAAAAATAATGTTTTTAATTTCAATTATTGCTTTTAATATTCTTCAAGTTAATTTGTTTCTTGGAGTAATATTGACCTTCATAAATGCATATTCTTTTGTAGCAGCTAATCTTGACATATACATCCATGAAGCAGATTTCCGTTTTTGAAGATAATCACGTTTTGATTTTATTGCTCGAAATGAAATACGTCCAAGTCTAGTATAATAATTTGTATTATATTATCAGGATCATAAACAATATATTTTACTTCCCCGATTAAATTGTTAAACTTCACCTGTGTATTTTCAAAACATATTGATTTTCTTCTTCGTCAGCAACAATATATATATCTAAAATATTTTCATTATTATAATAATTATAATAATTATTATAGCTATTATTTAATAATAAAATCTCATTAAATTATATATATATAAACAAACCAGATTCTTTTCCAACACCAATTTGATTTCCAACAGAATAAATATTTCCTCTTTTTGAAAAAGTTTTCAACGCCAAATAATCATATCCACCATATGTTAATCTATATCCATCATCTAAACATTAAAAAAAGTTAAAAAATTTTCACATTAATCAAATAATTATTTTTTAATCAATTAAAAATATTGTGTATACAATACATTTAGCATTTTTAACTCTAGCTACTAAATTTCTCTTGGCAAGTTCACCCAATATTTTATGACTACCACCATTACGAAGTCCTGCAATCTGTGCTATTAATATTGTCGGCACTATTTCATGATTTTTAGAACCCATTTCAACCTTTTTAAGAGAAAAATCAAATTATTTAAAACAATGAATTAATTGAATTAATTAAAAGATCAAATCAATCTAATTTGCAAAATCTTACTGCAGTCAACACTCTAAAATCTTCTGCAGTCATATATCTTAATACTTTTACATCAAGTTTCATTTTTATTATATTTTATCAAAAGAAAAAAAAGATAATCAATAAATTTTTTGTCAAACCAATTTGTTGATATTTTTTTTTTAAAAAAGAAAAATGGTACTACACAATTTAAAAATGATTGATTGTAAGTGTTAACAGCAGCATCAAGTTATCAATTAATTGTTTATTAGTGGAAAATTGGTATCAAGCTTTGTGCATCATGATTTAATTATGCAAAATTTACTGGTAGATTGGATTTTAATGTTGATGGATTTGAAATTTTTTTGTTGTAAAGATATTTTTACATTAAGAGTTACTTCTCAAATTAAAAAGAATGATAATTATAATTGGAATTAAAAAAATTTGGTTATCATCATTCATTCAGAATCAATAACATTGTCAAAGCTAGGTTCTTTAACATTACTTGATTATGAAAATTCATGTTTGTAAAAAAATACATTATTAGCATTTTAATTTCTGTTGCTCCATATACTCAACATAGCACTATAAGAAAATACATACCAGTCAGTGGGGGGTGGTCAGTCAGTGCCTATACAGTATGCCTGCCCACATAATCACTTCATGTGTTACAGAATTTCCTAAATCAGTATCTTTTTTACCGAACTCTTTTTTTCTTGTCAAAGAAAATATAAAAATTATTACAAAAAAAATTTAATATGAGCTCATCCAGAGGTTCCAATGTAGTTTTTGGTAAATATTCTTTCAATGTTGAAAAAAATTATATATATATAATCAACTGATCTTGGTTCTAATTTTGAAAAAAAAACATTTTTTTCTGACCAACATTTCAAAGTTGGAAATATACCGTATGAACTTACAGAAGAACAATTAATAGAGGTGTTTAAAGAAGTGGGACCTGTAGTATCATTTCGGTAGGCAAAAATTTTTTTTTGCTAGTTAAATTTTTGCTTATTTTATTTTGCTTGATAAACAAAAGTTAACAAATAATATCATTTAAAAAAAAAGTCTGGTTTTTGATAAAGAGAATGGAAGACCACGCGGATATGGATTTTGTGAATATCATGGTAACTAGAGGGATAGTTGGGCAAATAAAATAGATATATAAATAAATAAATGAAAAGTATAAAAACTAGATTTTTTCCCAAAATTATTTTTTTAATTGACATGACATATTTTTTATACAAAAAGACTCGGAAACAGCTGCAAGTGCAGTAAGAAATTTAAATAATGTTGAAGTTGGAGGGCGTCAACTAAGGGTTGATTATGCAGATAATGATCCAGCCACTTCATCTAATTCATCAAGCAACTCATCACGTCAAAATGATAGAATGAATTCAGAAAGACACCAACAGCAGCATCAGCAGCAGCATCAGCAGCAACAACAACAACATCATCTACATCAGTTACATCAATCTCAACAACAACAACATCAACCACAAATACTGCCACCTAATGTTAACACTTCTCAAACAAATCTTTCTCAACAATCCACTCTTGAAAACATTTCACAAACATTAAAAAATTCAATGAATCACATCCAACTTCTTGAGATACTGTCCACTATGAAGGTTTTAGGCATTTATTTTTTTTCATTGAAAAAATTACATATAATTATTTAAATGTTTATAAATTTATTAACCTATATCCTCAAACTTTAGTTGTACATACAAACTCATGCAGACCAAGCTCGTGCATTATTGGCACAAAATCCTCAACTTTGTTATGCATTATTTCAAATAATGTTAGATCAGAATATTGTTGATCCAAATATACTAGTATGTTTATTTATTTCCTAACTACAAAAACAACAATGAATAATGATATATATAATTAATTACTCATTATAATTGTGATCTTAATCAATTTTAGCGATTGATGCAACAAAGCTCTTTGCAAGGACAAACTCAACCTCAGCCAACTGCTGTACAAAATACCAATCCCTTGGTCACACCCAACTATGGTTCCCAACCTATTCCTAACACAGCACAAATTCCTCAACAACATCAACCTAACATGTTCACTTCAATTCCTCAGCAACCAATGATTCAGCAACCAATACAACAACCTATCAATATTCAACAGCCTCCAATACAGCAACCTCCCATGCAACAACCCCCATCCATGCAGCAATCTACTCCGATGCAACAACCTCCCCCAATGCAACAACCACCCATTCAACAACCACTGATGCAACAAGCTATTGGAATGCCAGTAATAAATACTGGAATGGTTAACCCCTCACAGTCTATTGCTAATTTAGCAACAGGGAATATTAATAATATGAGTAAGATATAAAAAATATATTTATTGACTGTTAATTATAAAGATAATTGTTAACCTTTTATCTCTTTAAAACATTAAAAGATGATTTACAAATGCAGGAAACTCAGAAATCAGTTAGTATACAATTCAAAAAAATTAATTTTATCATTAAATTTATGTATGTATGATATGTATGTATGTATATGTTAATATATGTATTGTTTAATCCATGTAGTTATTACTGCAAGTTCTAAATCTACCTCAAGCACAAATTGATTTATTGCCACCAGATCAACGTAATCATTTATTAGCATTGGTGAGTTAATATTAAAATTTCTCATTGTTATTTTTTTTAAAAAAAAAAAAAAAGATTATCACTTAAAAAAATTTTCCCTTTAATTTTTCATATAATTGTTGATAAATAGAAACAACAACTTTTACTTCAGGCTAGGCCGACATAAGTTAATAAACACAACATTATAAATTATTTAAAAAAAAACCATTCCATCCACATAGATATATATATTAATATATTATGCAAAAACTCAATTCAGTTTTTGTTAGAAACTTCCCATATATTTGTTCTCAATGATCTTTTTTATTTACCTTGCATGCAATGTATTCCATCCAAATATAATCCAAACTACTTCATGTAATATCCCACTTCCTCAATGTAGCATACTATGTAAAATCTAATAAGTTTATGAAATATGTTAATTAATTAGTCAGAATGACATACTTCAGTTGTCATAACTAGACAACTAGAACTTTGATTGATAGTAACATCATCAGTCATCAAACCAACATCTTTAAATTCATGTTTTAATGATTACTTGGTACCTGTTTTGTGTATTTATGATGGTTCTGGAACAGAAGCCAAATCTTTTGCTGATTTTTGTATACCAAATAGGCTACTTAATGCCCAATACTCAAATTTTTGATAACATTAGTTAAATATATATGAAAAATACACCAGTACGCAAGCAGAAAGCTGTGTGAGGTACAAAATACTAAGCTAGCTGTTCAAAAGGCAGCAGATAACACATTGGAAATCCGTGCAAGGCACAAAGTACTGAGCTAGCTGCCCAAATGGTAGCAGATAACATAGTGGAAAGCATATGGGAATAAAAATTCCTGAATTGAATATAAACATTGAAGAAGATGAACTTTATAATTTAGATGTTCAAAGTATTGATCATCCAACAATAAGTTCTGGTGGAAAATGGATACTTAATAGTTAAACTCACCATTTATGCCATTTTTATGTGCAATTTTTTTATTCTTTTCTAAAATTTGTATATTTCATCTCGCTTTGTGGAATATTGCTCCATTATTATCATCACTATTACTAAAAAAATATTACACATTCTAAATTTACAAAATAACTTTAATATTTAAAGATGTATGGGTTGTTCATAATGGAAACTGTTGGTTCTTGTCAGTTTACCTTTGATAATGGTAAATCGTGGACCAACCAATTGTCCCGATTAGTGTTGATCAATTAGAACTAAATTATCACGGCGGTCATGTGGTGTGCTAAATATTGAAAACGAATCAAGGAAATTATTTCGATTTTTCTATCGATATATATTATTAATCTACATTTCCATTTAAAATACTTAGTAATTATTAATTAATAAGCCAGTAATACAATAATTATTAAATTCTTTCAATATCAATCAATTAGTTTTGCAAATAATCTGAATCATCAGATTGAATCAAGGTTCTATTTGCTCTCATTAATATTAAGGCATTTTGAATGTGTTCAATTACTTGGATTTGGACTTGAGAATTATCCATTTTGAAAAAATTCATTCATGTATACTGTAAAAAAATTCATGTGCACCACACCAAATACGAGTATCCTAACCCTGATAGGCTATAATTGCTACTCTTCCAAGAAGAGTCCCTCTTTTGACACAACAAGCGAAGACTAATTGCTTTTCAGACTAGACAACTACCCAAATACTCCGTAACACTATGTTGGCATGGTCTTGTGAAAAACTCCATCCAACCCATGGTAAAGCACCTCATATTTGGGGTGCGATCAATTTTAAAGGGAAGATCGGCATTCATGTCCTTTGACCGCCGCCACCTATACCGTAAAATTCTAAATGAACAACTCTACGATAATGCTGATGTAATTAGTAGGTGGTCATTGGGTCTTTCAGCAGGATATCACCCTAAATATACCTCTAGGGATGTCCAGAATGGTCTGAATTCCACCTCCCAGGATGTGTTCTTGCTTGGCCTTCATAGTTCAGATCTCAATCCTATTGAGGATATCTGGGCTATTTTGAAGCAGCACAAAAAAAGTGTTTCTCAAAAAAATTTATTAACATAATTATGGAGGAATGGGAAGCTCTTGAAAAAAAATTGCAATAGTTAACAGCATCAAGTCGGGTTCAAGCATATATTAATGCTGAAGGTGCCCACACCAAATATTGATGTAATAATAAAAGTTGTGGCCATATTACTTGGCTTTAAGAGTATATGTATTTTTTTTAATTTATTATGAATTGCATTCTTTATTTGTAAAAAATCATGCGCCATTACTTTCGCCGAGGACTGTACTTGAAATTCTCTATTTTTTTTTCAAGATACAGTTTTTGAATCAATTATTTTAATAACAAGAACACGAAATAGAATTTTCAGCGAGGAGCTTTATTTTAGATCTAGAAATAGGAATTCATTCATTATTAAATATCTTATTATAAATATAATCAAAGCTCCCCGCAAGCCAGCGTGTGGAACTTTGGAATCAAAATGTGGAGTGATGCCTTCTACATTATACAAGTAACTATGCTCACCTCCATAAGATTCTTTATCATAATAATAGACAAATGATTGATATATTATTATTAATATAATAATTATAAAGGTAAGAAAAGCAACATAATAATTATTGAAGATGGAAAACTGCTCACGACTTATTAGGAAATTTTAAATTAATTCCTTGTGTATGAAAGGTTAACCCGACCTGTTTTATGATGACGCAATTAAAATCTTTTATTTTAGGAAAGAGAATGTTGAAGCTTCTCACTTGCCTAAAGCCTAATAATATGGAACTTTCACACATGTAGAAATTCTATAGTAATAGAGATGGGGAGCGCATTATGCCGAACTTCCGTGGAAAACTTTGTTAAATTTGACACCTATGATCATATCAAATTATTCATTTTTTGGAAGTGATTTTTAAGGATCTCTACAGCTGTAATTGAGAAGCGCACAAAAAAAAAGGAAAGTAAAGAAGGCCCAACCATTAAAGGCCAAAAATTTTCCACGCCACTTTGATTGACAAAGAGATGGAACCACAGTCATACACGGAAAGGAAGCTTGGGTTAATATCTCCCAACTCTGCCAAAATTTCTTTAAAAGTTTTGTTTCTTGGTCACAGATAATTTATCTAATGATATAAATTTTATGTATTTTTATTATGTAGCATTTTGCATAACTTTTTGGATACATTACTATTACTATTAAAATCTACAATTATTATAATAAATTAAAATGCGATGATGATAATGATAATGATAATAATACAAATAAAAACTATTCTATAATGAATACTAAAAAAAAATTAATGTAGTCGATTATTTGATAATATTAAAAATCATGGCCGATTATCAAATTCTATAAATATAGGTAGTTCAAAATGATTCCTCTATTGTAATTTTTATACAATAAATTCCTTTGATGAATCCACTCTCTCCCACATTCTACCTTACTTATATTACGCTTGGTAATTTTATTAACGCTAATGGTTGAAAAGTTTGGGCAGCGGTTTTATTCGTTGTTACTACATTACTATTATTAGGAGATATAGGTGGCGAAGTAATAAAGGTAGGCGTAGTGGGGGTTGCCTTTTCATCATCATCCAATATACACGAAGGATTGTTTTCACTTGCTGGTGATTTTATCCATTTATCTATAATAAAATCATGTTAATTTAGAAAATTTTTTTTTAATTCAAAAATAAATATCAATTAATATATATACCAGGAACAGCCAAAAAATATTGTTCCATTGAATCCCTAAATCTATTTTTGTATTGATCTGGTGGCAAGACAGTTACTTCTTTTGCATTACGTCCAATAGTTTTACCTTTAGACTCCAATTTCTTATAAAATGTATATGCACCGATAAAATCTATTCATCAATTGATTTCATTGTTTCGTATTAATAATTATTAAATAAACATTACATAGCCCAAACAGTACTACCAACCTACTATTCCTGCAATTAATTCTTTCTTTTCATCATCCACACCAACCAACAATGAATAATCCATAATATTAGCATCAGCCAAAAATTGTGTATCATTAAGTATAGCCTCTCTTATTATTTTTTTTGAATGCGAATGTATGAGTAAAAGGGATTTATATCGGCCTATACAAAACATATATATATAAATAACCAAATAATTATAATTATAATTATAAAGATATTGTTATTCATATACCTTCTACCCAATCACCGTCCCATAATGTAACATCATTTTTCTGCTGTTGTTCTTTGATATGACGTTCTTGTATTCCTTTTAAATCAAATCTCTAAAATTAATTTAAAAAAGTATTATAATTATTATTGATTATTATTAATACTATAATTAAAATATATTATAATATGGGTATATATTTTATACAAAAGCAATTGAATAGTAACTTACCCTGGTTATAGTCTTTTCAAAAAATAAATGTTCCATCACAAGCACATCAATCTTTAATATTATATTATTTTTTTTCGTGTCTTTAATCTTTATAGTATAAAATCCAAATATCTTGGCAAGAACTGATGGTGTCTAAGAATATTTAATTAAAAGAAATTACTATTATTGTTACTATTCAAAGAAAGCATAGCATAATAGATATATTTTTATAAATTTATACATTTGGTGCTTTATCCATATATTCAAAATATTTTGGTGCAAATTTAAGTAGTGCATCTTTTTCTGCTATTCTCCAAGATGATACCATTTGCTTTATAACAAGTCGATCATCTAGTTTATAGAAGATTTGTCATTTTAGAAAATGCGGAGAAAAAATTTACAATTATATAACAATATATTTTACCACTTGTTTTGAAAAATGTGCTAGAACTTTTCCCACCAGTAGCTTGCCAGCTTGTACATCTTGACAATGAGTCAATGCAAAGATTTTCAATACCACATCTACGTCGAAGTGAATCAAATTGTGTTGCATAATAAACGGTACATGTAAATTTCTTAGTTCCGTGTATACATTCTTAAAAAATTTTGAATTAATATAATGTAATAATAAATTAATAATAATGCTTAATGGTTATAACAATTTGTACCATGTTTTAAATGTGGACTATCTCTTTCTTTATCTTTTTGACTATTACGTCTAGACCAAGTAAATCCATCAACTAATCCACTTGATGTTGGTGGTGGAGTAAGTGGAAGTGGTGGAGAATGTAATGGTGGTGGTGGTTGTTGCTCCTCTTTTTTTTTGGGAGGATCTTTTTCCTGAGGGAAAACATGTTTCTCATTAAATTTTTCTTCTTGCCGATGGCCTTTTACAAATGTTAATGGCTTGGCTTTTTCCAAATTAATTTCTTTTTTTTCTTTATAATCATTTATTTCATTTGATTTTTCGCATTCCTCTGTATTATTATGAACTGAACCAAAAATCCCTCCAAGTTTTCCAATTATTGGAATATTTGCTGTAGAGTTCAAACCATTGTTACTATTACCATTATTATTATTATTATTATTATTATTATTATTATTATTATTATTACTCTTTTCATCAAAAATTTCATTTTCACCATTATCTTTTTGATTCTTTTTCTTATCTTTTGATAGAGTTAAATTAAATCCTTTCATCGATCCAAGTGTTTCAATACCATATGTGATTCTATCACCTATAGTACTACCAGGCAATGCATTTTCACGTACTAATTTTCTTTTAATTTTTGTTGAATATTGATCAATCAGCGTAAAACCATCTGGATCAATTTCTGTTAATGAAGGTGATTGTGTTGGGTGATTACTTTTTTTTTGCACCGAATTAATTGTTGAAGGACGACTTAGATTGTTTAAAAGTGAAGAAAATGTTGATGACAATGGTGGTGAGTTATTATTTTCCGAAAATGGTGTGGTTGGTGCTGATTGTGTTGATGTCAATTTCACATTATTTTTCATTAATAATAATTCTTTTAAATAATCTTTTGAACTATGAATAGAAAAAAATAAACATATGAGTGCATATATCAAGAAATTATTTTTACAAAAAAATAAACAAATAAATAATAATAATAATTACCTCAATGTACATGCGATAATTGAACTTGGTTCATTTTCTCTTATGATTATCGGAGATCCAGGAAAAACATAGCATTCTTTTGAGCTATAAAACGTCAAGAAAATTTTCTGTTTATTATTTATTATTCATTTTTTATTTTTAAAATATATAGGTATCCAAGATATATATAAAATTTACCTATAATATTCAGGTTCAACCCAATTAATATTTGAATACTCTTCTTGATTTTCTTTTGGTATATATGTTTGTTGCCAAGATAATAATCTTTTTTTAGTTGCATTAATTCTTTCAACCAATCGATTCCTAACATTATTTAACATTGTAGCTTTGGTCCTTTTTAATAAATCATAAAGTTCAAACTCTTCTCTACGAAAAGTGTTTGATAATTCTTCCAACATTTTAAGATGATCTTGATATTTGATTTCTTTTTCTTGCTCAATTTTATCTTTGTTATTTTTACCAACAGCAGCAGCAACAGTTGTAGTGGCGTTTTTTTCATTATTTTTAAGCTTTATATCATGCGAAGATATAAAATACTCTTCCAATGTGGTTATATGTTGTTTAATGCTACCATAAAAATGAGTAATCTCGAGTCTTGTTTCATTGTACAGCCTTTTTGTGTCTTCTTCATCAATCATGAACATTTTATCGATATCTTCATATTCAGCATTAATATTATTTTGTTTTGTCATATCATGACTAATTTGTATTTTTGGTAACCTCATTTCAAACAAATCAACATGCTCATATTCAATCTTCGCCACCAATTCATCTTTGTAAAAACACCTAACTAAAGAATCCCTTAGTTCCACATGTGGACATAAATCTTTAAATGAAAAAGCTTCATTATAAAATAAAATTTCTAAATATTTTCCAAAAGAATAATAGTACGTTGCGTTCGACATCTCAATTAATGGTGATTTTGAAGAACATAATTTACACTGTGTCCATAATATTATTTTGTTGTTAGATAGGGATTTTAAATTGAGATCAGATGATTTTTCTAATGTAATTGAAATTCTACCAATATTATGTGTATAAGTTGTTATATGATCAATACCACATTTGCCACAACTTGGCTCTTCGCATTCTTTATATGCCTGTTGATAAAGATACTCCAATGTTTCTCCAAGTGTTTTATCAGCATTATTATTATACCTATTGTAATATTCGAATGTAATTATTTTATGATTATGACAAGGTGAAAGTGAAGTTGGAGACCAAAATTTAGAATAAGAACATGAAATTGATTGATGCTTAAATACTCCGTTCAAAGAATTATTGTTTGTCATTAGGTATGAAAGACCAGATTTGAAATCTAACGATATTTGATTAAATTTTGATAATGATGAATAGTAAGTTCTATATTTTCCTGTATATGTTGGATTGGTTGATAATATAGTGTTACCATTTGAATAATCTTTAGTCAAGTCAATAATATCATTTACAGCGTATGATCTAAACGTATCATCATTATCGCCATCATCATACTGAGTTGTATGTAAAGTAATCCAAGTTTCTTCTTCTTTTAACCTTGTTAAAAGATGAGGCGGAGGAAATTTCACTCCAGGAGATGATGACAATATAATTTCTTCCATTTGTTTTATAGCCCTAGAAAATTTATTAGTTGCTAAAATTGCCATTTCATTATCATTAATAATTGAAGAATTACTTGTTGACGGTGCTTTTGTTATTGAATTTTGATGTTTAGTTGTAGACCATTTAGATAATGGCGAATGATTATGATTATGCTGATGATTACGATTTTGATCATTCTGTTGATGTTGATGTAAATTTTGTCTTTGATGTTCTTTTACATGCGGCAAATTATTATGTTTCATCAGCCATCCAAACCATGAAGGTTTAGAGGTACGTCTTGTAGATTTTAAAACTGATTCGATCTCCATAGCATCTTGTCCTTCATTTTGATCTATCCTTGATGCTGAATGATCTCTGAACAAGCACATTTCTAATTTTAAATTACAAGCTACAAATACCATCAATTCAAAAATCTTATCAACCCTATTAATCTGTCGATTGTTTCCTCTCAACATAATTGTACCACCAATCCAGTTTACTTGTGAATCTTTTGAAGGTTCTTGATCTAATTAATCAAAAAATTAAAAATTATTAATATAAAAATTTTTTTTTCCTCAAGATTTTTTAATTATTCTTTACCATATTTAAATAAATTTGTTCCTTCAAAATGATTGTAAATAAAAGTAGTATCATTGGGTTTGCCACCTTCTATTTTCTTCAAATTAATAATGAATTTCACTTTATAATTATTGAATTCATCATTTTTTTCATTATTGTTGTTAATTGTTTCACCGCATTTATCAATAACTTTTGGCAAAATCTCTGCGATATCAAGTACAATTCCTAAAATTATAGATTCCCATGGATTATATTCAATTGTGCAATTATATAAACTTTGTTTTAAAAGTTTTCTGATGTGTCCAAGCGATACGCTATCTAATGGTAAGTCATTAGAATCCTGCGGTATTATTAAAACTGACTTTTTATCATTTAATCTATCGTTATTACTAATTTCATTTGGTAATGCTGGTAATGGTTTATGAGAATGATTTATGGTGAAAGGTGTTTGTAAATTCATAGACATAATATATATAAAATTGAAATTATAAATATCTATCTGGGCTCGTTTAATATTTATAAAATTAATTGTACAATCTTGATAATATTTGGTCAGTGTAACTGTAAATATAAGTTCCAAATTTGGAGAATGATTCTTGTCGATCAATTCATATTTCTATAAATGTAAATAATAACGAACCTGTCTATAACGAACTTTACTCCCATTTAAAATTTAAAATATTGTTGTATGTGAAATTGAAATTATGTGAAATTGAAAATTTTCAATTAAAATTTTGGGGTGGGGTGTTTGGATATGAAATTCTGATTGGCTAATTTGAATTTCACATACGTGAATTGCAAATTCACATAAATTTCATTTTCACAACAATTAACGAATTTATTAAAATTCTATATATTGTATAACGAACTGTTTCCAGTTCCAATGATTTTTCCGCTGGAATTGGAACCAATAGAAAATCTGCAATTGAACTCGTGTAAAAAATTGTAATACAAAAACTGTACATTTTTTACCTTTTTTTAAATTTTCATTTAAAATATTAATATTTTTATGGATACATTGTGCCAAAAAGACGTGGTGGTTAATACAAGCAATTGTATAGCTATTACTATCGTTTAATTTCCGGTGTTTTCAGAAAAAGTCATTGGAACTAAAACAACACTGGTTTTAATCTTAAATTATATCGAGTCGATTTATCCGTATATTTATCAAATCACTAAAGATAAAAATCACATTCTTTGATTCTTTCTTCTATATTTCTTTTCTTGAGAAAGATTTTTATAAAAACAAAATGGCTCTCAAAATCCTCTCTAGAATTGGCATTAAATCCGAAACTTGCACAAGATAAAGGGTGGGAAAATTAATTAAATCACTAAAAGATAAGAATTTATTTAATATGCAAGAAGATATGATATGACAATAAAGAATCTAAATACAATGAACTTTAGTTTCATCAGTTGTTGTCGTTGTTATTATTATTATTATTATTGTCGTTGTTGTTGTTGTTGTTATTGTTGTTGTTGTTGTTGTTGTTGTTGTTGTTGTTGTTGTTGTTGTTGTTGTTATTTAATAAAATTTCCAAATTACTTTCAAAATAAAATGGCTTGATCTTTTTACGAGGAATTGTTGAATCTAAAATATCACGTTCCTTTTTCTTCTCTTCCTCAAACTTCCTTTTTTTTCTTTCTTTATTATAATTATTAATATAAGTGAATAAATTTTTTCCGGGAGGTAATGGCGGAACATTTGCCATTTTGCATACTTTAATATCAAAAATTAACGTGTTGGGAACCAATCGTTTGAGTCTCGTTGGATTAAAACCATTATTATTATTATTGAGTTTGTTGTTGTCTTTATCATCATCGTTGTCGTTTTTATGGTTGTTGTTATTTTTATTTTTCATCAACTTGAAAAAGCTTGATCTGTTACATTCTTTAACATCTTCCCAAGCATCAAAAAAAAGAAATCTTGCGGCTAATTTTTTATAAATATAAATATATATAATAAGTAAAAATATATAAAATTTTCAAAAAAAAAAAACTTACCAAAAGTTTGATGTTTAATAAAGTCTTTAGTTTCAGGTTTTCTATTGTATATTTTTTCAAATTCTTTCATAAACGTTTCAATAGATCGCTTCAATTTTTCGTAAAGAAGATTGTTTTTCTGTTTGGTGAGATATTTCTCCTCTGTTTTAACTTTTTCTGCCACTTTTTTGGAAAATATCTTAATTTCTTTGGCGACTTCAGTCATGAATTTGTTCTTCAAATTTTTTGAAGTTTCAAATTCCAAGTCTCTACCCGTTGCTGCTTTATAATGTTTGTTAAAATCATTCAAAAACCAATGAATTTTTGCACCGAATACATTCAATATATCGCAATCAGTTGATTCTGATAGAACTAAATCCATAGTTAACGTGGATAGATATAAATATTTAATAAATATATATATATATAATCTATTTTTTAAAATATTAAATATTCTCTGAAATAAAAATAATCTATATAATTAATTGTTTGGAAAACAAACGCGTGTTATTTTTATTTTCTTTTTTTTGGTGACACGGATATTATAGATTGCAGATCAATTATCAACAGTAATATATACTTTTGGCAAATGCGAAGGTCGAAAGCAATTTTCGACAAACGATAGTAATAGCTAATGCCGAAATGCCGAAAGTCACATGATGTTTCACGAAAAAGATAAAAACAAGATTATTGCTTTTGCAAAGGTTGTAAAAGTATTAGTTGGTTGGGCCGCTGATTCAGATAAAATCAAAAGCCTAAATTTACTTGTGAATAGTATAAATAAAGGATTGAAGAAATATTTAGTGTGCTACTCTTTCTACTGTATTTTGTACAACTTCTTTCTTTCTGACGTAAAAATTACATCAATAATATACTTTTATTATTTATTTATTATTATTAAATGTTAGATAATGAAATAATAATTATTACTATTTAATGTTGAACTCATCGGATCTTTTGCATGTAAATGAAAAAAAAAAATGGATGGTATCAATGAATTTGAGACTTAATTTTTACATCAAATCTTTTTTAGTTTTCAAAATCATTACTTGAGTTGTTCCTTTGACCAATACATACGTATGTATATATATCTATGACGTACAAATGAATAAATGCTTTTTATTTCATGCCACATGATTTTTAGATCGTTTCCAAATATGATACATCATCTAATCAATTTCTTTTTTCACAAATAAACGTATTCAAAAGGTAATAAAAATATTGTTAAATAGTAAATATGTAAACTTTGCATTTCAATCTTATTGACAGGAACTTTCAGAAATCAATAGAGAACCACCTGTTGGAATTAGTGCAGGACCTGTTGATGATAATAACTTACTCAGTTGGGTATGTAGTGATTTACTCTGTCGTCATTTATTTTCCTTTTGATGATTTCACACTCACTACTGGCATTTATTTAATTACTTTTGGATAGCCACAATTTTAGGACCTGTATGTGAACTATATATATGTGTGTGTGTTTGTATAAGATATTTGTATGTTTTATATATATTATATTATTTATTTGTAGGCTTCTAGTCCATACAAGGTGGAATTTTCAAACTTGAGATTGATTTTTCACACGACTATCCACTTAAACCACCATCAGTAGGTTTTTTATATATTCGAATTAGTAAATGATGATGATGATGATGATGATGATGATGATGATGATGATGATGATGATGATGATGATGATGATGATGATGATG